ACTGAGATTGATACTTGCTATACTATCTTTCAGGAAATCTAGTACTTTATAAATATCATATTGCTTGCAGCATTATGATAGCCTTACATTTGGTTACAGTAAGTCACAAGACTGCAACTGAAAACCAGTAATCTAAGGAACAGCAATCCAAAATCAGTGCCCATGACCCTTGATCAATTGCTGTACAAGGCTGGGACCTTCCTTTAGTGCTGAGGAGCCACCTTACACAGATGTCACTTTGTTCTATCCAGGATCAAAGAGGCGTTTCTGCAGTGATCACAGCTCATGTCAAGCACTGTCTTTATAAAAAACGTACTTTATTTGCCCAAACATTTTCAAACTCCCTTACCATATGAAACTTTAATTGCTTTGAAAAGAAAGGCTCTCTTGAATCCTGTAGAATTAAGAAGGTTCATTTCAATGGCATATTAGCTGTCTGAAGATAGGAGTCACTGAGAAACACTGAGTGACTGTGATTCAGCCAAGAAAGCAGCTCCCTGATAACAGGGTAGGGATGAAGGCTCGATGGATGTTTATGACAAAGTGAGGTTTGACGCTTCTGACATCAAAATAAATAATGAGAAACTCAGAGAGTTTCTTTCCCTTCTCCCTCTCTTCTATTTTTACTTTCATAACATTCTCTCAGAAGAACAAAGGAAATCTGCCATCTCCCTGTCTCAGTGGAGCATCTACGTTTCTCTTTTGTTAATTTTTAATCATGGAAGTGGCACTTGCAAGGGGGCAAGAGAACATGCCTCAGTCCAGAGATGGACGTGGGCCAGCACCCAGTGGCTGGAGGGTAGCCAAAGCAACGATGAGTGCTACCAGTTGAACCACAGCAGTGATGGAAGACAGCCAGCTGTTGGTAACAGGATCACAGAGTGATGGGTCTGTAATTTGGAAAGAGAGTCCAACTCCTGAATAGGAAAATATTGTGATGTCACTTGAATTAAATAGACCTACAACTAAATTACAGTCAATAAAAATGATATTCGAAAACAACCAACATTTGTGAAGTCTCTTTTCAATGTATTGATTTCTACATTTAAAAAATAATTTCATAAAACATATTTGGTTTGATGGGAAATTTATGGAACTCTAAAATTTGGGCAGTCTGCAACATTTATAGGGCCATATTCTGGCCACATAAAAAATTCACAAAAGCCCTATTTTGCATATACTATAAATAAGTATTGATTTGAAAGGTACAAAAACACAAAACTGAAGACCTGCTTTGGCCTCAAATTTTAAAAAGACTTTGCTAGGATTATGTTTCTTAATTCTCATAAGAAATGAAGGTGGTCCCTTGGAAGTCAGTCCTCACCACTGTGACAATTCATTCATCTGGAATTTCTGGGGATGTGTTGATAAAGAAGTTATCTGAGAGCTAAATTTTATATATTGTGCTGAAACTTTGGCAGTGGAGTTATTTTGTATGGATAATTTGAATTTTTTTTTCTTTGAGGTGGAGTAGCTCTGTTGCCCAGGCTGGAGTGCAGTGGTACAATCTCGGCTCACTGCAACCTCTGCCTCCTGGGTTCAAGCGATTCTCCTGCCTCAGCCTCCTGAGTAGCTGGGATTACAGGCATGCGCCACCATGCCTGGCTAATTTTTTATATTTTTAGTAGAGACGGGGTTTTGCCATGTTGACCCGGCTGGTCTCAAACTCCTGGCCTCAAGTGATCCGTCTGCCTCAGCCTCCTGGATAATGTTAATTTTAAATAGAAGACCCTAACTATAATTTTACCATTTCTTGATGGCTCAAGGCCATAATTATTACTGCAACCAGTGGCCATGCTGAGCTCTGATACACAGTTATTCTGGGGACTAACCATGTTTGGTGGGCTCTCTGCCTTGGTACAAGGGACACCAAGCTGGTCGGAGTAGCCAAGGCTGCCAAACCTCTCCATATGAATATTCCCAGCTGGGAAGAGGCAGAGACTCAAAGGATCCACCAACCACTTCCAAAGAACAACCTGAGAGGCTTTATGTACAACTCCTTCAGCTCATGAACTACTGCACATCTTAAGAGACCTAAAGGCTTGGTGCAGTGGCTCATTCCTGTAATCCTAGCACTTTGGGAGACTAAGGCAGGAGGATCGTTTGAGCCCAGGAGTTCGAGACCAGCCAGAACAACATAGTGAGACCTCATCTCTTTTCTTTCTTTTATTTCCTTCTTTCCAACATAGTGAGACCCTTTCCCTTCTCCCTCCCCTTCTCCTTCCTTCCCTCCCTCCCTCCCTCCCTTCGTCCCTTACCTCCCTCCCTTTCTCTTTCTCTTTCTTTCTCTCTTTCTCTTTCTTTGACAGGGTCTGAAGGGCAGTGGTGCAAACATGGCTAACTGGAGCCTCAACCTCCCAGGCCCAAGTGATCCCCCCACCTCAGCCTCCTGAGGGGCTGGGATAACAGGTGTACCACCATGCTTGGCTAATTTTTGTATTTTTTTGTAGAGAAATGTTCTCACCATGTTGCCTAGGCTGGTCTCAAACTCCTGAGCCCAAGCAATCTACCCGTCTCAGCCTCTTAAAGTGCTGGGATTGCAGGTATGAGCCACCATGCCTGGCCAATACCCCATATCTACAAAAGAAAAAAAAAATTGCTGGGTGTGGTGGTGCCTACAGTCTCGGCTACTTGGGAGGCTGAGCCACTGCACTTCAGCCTGGGTAACAGAGTCAGACTGTGTTACAAAAAAAAAAAAAGAAAGACCAAAGAACAACTTCATCAATTTACAATCAATAAATATTGATTGAGAATAAGCTGTACATATCCTGGGACCTTAGCATATAGTACAATTCAGCTTCTCCATAAATGCTGGTTGAAGGAGGATTTGCATGGGTGTGTCTGACAGAGAGAGAGAGAGAGAGAGAAAAGGAGAGAGAGATGGACAAAAAGACAGAGAGACAGACACAAACATGCACAAAACATACCCCTAGAATGTTCAATAAGAGAATGTCAAATTTAATGACAGTGGTATAAAAGATATTAGGGAAAAATATAATTTTTTAAGAAGATATACATTTTCCTAGTCTTCCAATGAAACATGAATTTTGTTTCACACACAAATAAAAAAATCCAACATTTGTTATACTTACCTCCAAAAGAAAAAATATTGAGGAAAAAAGTTATGTTAGGAAGCCTTAAAAATTAGTGTGAAATTAGGAAATAGGGGGTGAAATTCTTAGGAAATAAGAATTAGGGCAGTGAGTGGAGACGGGCCACTGCACTCCAGCCTGGGCGACAGAGCGAGACTCTGCCTCCAAAAAAAAAAATTAGGAAAGTAGAGAAATTGTTTCTCTTTACATCTTTTTCTAGGTCATGTGAAAATTTCTGGAATAAAAATTTTGTGTCTCCTTTGGTGCTTGCTACAACTTTGGATCATTCTCATATTTAAAAATGTTCTGGCCGGGCAGTGGCTCACGCCCGTAATCCCAGCACTTTGGGAGGCCAAGGCAGGCGGATCGCAAGGTCAGGAATCGAGACCATCCTAGCTAACACAGTGAAACTCCATCTCTACTAAAAATACAATAAATTATCCGGGCTTGGTGATGGGCGCCTGTAGTCCCAGCTACTTGAGAGGCTGAGCCAGGAGAATGGCATGAACCTCGGAGGCGGAGCTTGCAGTGAGCCGAGATTGCGCCACTGCACTCCAGCCTGGGTGACAGAGTGAGACTCCGTTTCAAAACAAAACAAAACAAAACAAAAAGTTCCTCCTTATATATACGGAGATTTAAGTGTCTTTTACTTGTCCTCTTGAAAAAGGACAATTTGTCAGCTTCTTAAAGATACTTATTAAGCTACACATCTGTCAGCTTCTAACCAAGTTCCAGTAACTGGGCTACAATTTTTTCATGTATGTGTGTGAAGTTTTCTTTGTTAGAAAATAAAAAGTGAGACAAGGTCTCAGCCCTCAAAGAGCACGGAGTATAGAGAGGGGAGGGTGGAAGGGATGGTGGATGCATTAACAAATGACTATGATAAATGCAGCAAGCACAATGACAAACACAAGTTCAAGGTTAGGTGGTAGACGAGCAAGTGATCATGGCTTTTTAGCAGTTCTGTGTCAGTTCTCAGGGTCAGCCCTTTGGATCTGAGCACAGGCTTAGGGAGATTCATTCGCCTCAGTATTCTGTGGTCAAGAGACACTTGTATTTGAGGGAAAGGCACAGATGACCTCCCTGGTATCACACAAACATTTATTCCTACCATGCATTTTATGTACCCATTAATTGCTTTCTTTCTGTATTATCTTTCAAGAAAACTACCTTAAAAATAATTATTTACTATGTGAAATGCTACTACTTCCCTGTATTCTTTGTCTGCTTCCTCCACCAAAACTCTAAGTGATTCTCTCCTTCCCTTCAATAATACCAGCATGATTCTCTGACGTAATTTGGCCACTATTCCCCCAGCACCACTGTTTATGGTCTGATTCACAATTCAACATACGGAAGGGTCTGAGATGGGGGAATGCAATGTTACCAAGCTATACTGGACTATCACACATTGTTCGAATGTTCAGTAGAATTCAGAAGATATTGGGAGGACTTGGAGTACAACTGATCCAAGACAGCATTCAAAATAGTTTACTTTTTGATACGCCAAAAGTACATTGCTCTATGAATTTTAGACACCAAGACATAGAAGCATACTGATAATTCAGTGTTTTAAGAATTACAGACTGTCAGGTTGTTTCTATCAGTAGCACCTTTCTAGAATGTAGCTACTTCTCATTCTTTACTTTACATCCTATACATTTATCAGTCTCATAGTACATTTATCAGTCTCATCCTCTACATATTCCAGCCATTGACTGCTGTAGAATTCAAATAAACCACCACTAATAGCTCTTAGATGTCTTTGCCCTTTTTAAACTGGGGAAACCCAAAGATTCATTAATATGCTTTGAGCACTTCAAACTATAAGCATGATAGTAATTGCCCATTAAGGCAAACTGCTCTGAATAATCTTGTTGACTATACAGCAGAGAATTGTTTACAGACCTGAGCAGAAAGTAGAGGCAAAGTTCTGCAGAGCAGTGTCCACCTCCTCCACACTGGAGAGAGCCAGGAGCCGAGGGAGGAGGCCTTCCAGGGACTGTATGAACAGCCTGGCGCTGTGCTGATCCGCCTCCTGGTTCTTCAGCAGTTTTAGAGACAGGGCGGCAGCTCGCAGGGACCGGTGGCCTAGGCAGTCCCGGGGGGTCTGCTCTTCATCGGCTAGAGAACAGTTGTCCGACCCAATGTCTGACACGTCGGACCTGCCCGAGTCCTTTTCTGCTGCCATTGAGTACTGATCACAGGAATCAAATTCTGTCCTAGAAAGGTCTTGGTCATCAACACTAAAATTGCTCTCACTATACCTAGATCCATAGGACCTTGTCCTGCAGTCTACTGACAGGAAGTTAGTTATGTCAGGGTAAGGGACTGTGTGGCTTCTCTGCACGACATCTGGCTGGTCTACTGCCTCTGTTTCCAATACTTTGCTCAGCGTCTCCTTGCCCTCCGGGATGGCTGGCGACTTGAGACTGTTCTTGTGGTTTCCCGAGTGGTCCTCAGGTGTAGTCTGACCCAACTCTCCCTCGAGAGTGGTCTGGCCTGTGTCTGTGGTGACACTGATGCTGATGTCAAGGTTCCTCTCGTTCCCTGACTCCCACGGCGTGTGTTCCGAGGACAGCACTCGCCGCTGCCAGCGGAAGTCAGCCTCATTGATCTCCATGGAATCTCGGCTCCACTCAGCCCCATCCTTCAGCTCCTCAAGGCGCAGAAGCAGCAGTTGCACCTGACCTTCGCTCAAGCCCTTCCCCTGGCTGAGCTCATCCAGGGCACCCAGCAAGGTGCAGACACAGGACACGGCTGCATAGCAAGCTTCGATGCCACCCTTGATGCATGCTTCGGTCATGCCATCCATGATGCTAAACAGTGTTCAAAAGAGAAAACGGAACAAATGCATAAAATATAGAAAATATCTCTGAAAGGAACAAGAGTGTTAGACTGGCTAACAGCATAGTATTCAAAACGGATAGTCTGATTTGCATAAAGCAAAATGGTCCGGGCAATAAATAAAGGAAACAAACATGCTTAGGTGGGAGAGAAAAATCTTCAGATAAAGTGGCCTGCATTGGCCAGGCATGGTGGCTCATGTCTGTAATCCCAGCACTTTGGGAGGCTGAGGCAGGTGGATCACTTTAGGTCAGGAGTTTGAGACCAGCCTGGCTAACAAGATGAAACCACATCTCTACTAAAAATACAAAGAATTAGCCCGGTGTGGTTGGTGTGTGCCTGTAATCCCAGCTACTTGGGAGGCTGAGACAGGAGAATCATTTGAACCTGGAAGGCAGAGGTTGCAGTGAGCCGAGATCCCGCCACCGCACTCCAGCCTGGGCGACAGAGCAAGACTCTGTCAAAAAAAAAAAGGGGGGGGTCTGCATTGAATCACCCTCCCTCTTGGCTTGCTGGTTTATCGGGGTACAAACAGAAGCTCCCGATGAGCATTTATGACCTTCCTGAACAATCTCACTTTTGTATTATGCTCGGTATTTCAAATAGAAAATAGTGATAATGATTATATGATAATGTGGACCTTCCTCTATAAAGTAAACATATTCCTGAACAGATGTATGTGAATACAACTATTACGAGCCCTATAATATTCAGTTTTCTAGGGGGGCTACATGTGAAGAAATCCTATAGCTACAGTATTGTAAGTCAAAAGTTCTTCTCTAAAAAAAATCTCAATGAATAATTATTATACATTTCACTTGGTACATTTGGTTTTAAGTCAATATGAAAATATACAAAGTTCCATGATTATAATAAATTGAGGTACATCTTCTCATGTAGCTTGTGGGTGAATTATTAGACACATTTCATATAATGTAGAATTTTTTAAAATCTCAGGGATTTGCAAGCAAAGTTAAAAGTCTTCAGAAAAGCTGCCTCAATAAAGACCTAAAAGGATAAATATCATACAGTTTGAGGAGATCCAGATGAGACTTTCTTTTTGAAATTGATCTTTTTCTGGACTCTGATTCAATGGAGCTGGGTCCTGCCAAGTCACAGAGACGCTGTGGGCTCCCGAGTATCTTAAAGAAAAAGGTAAAAGAGTAACAGAAAAGTGAGTATCACAAAAAAGCACAAGGTTTTTAAATTGTGAGATCAAATAAACATGTACTTTCCCTACTGAGTGATATAGTATAAGGAGAAACGCAACTATTTGGAACTTCCAATCTTAGTAAGACTGATTTAGGTTTTCTTCTTGACATATGGTGTGTATCAGGCTCCTGGCTCCTCAGCTCAGCGCTGGCTTAGACAAAGAAAATTCTCAGAGGGATTGTTGAAAAATCTTTTCTAGCACAGAACTAGAAAACACTTGGATCTCTGTTCTTTAGTAAGATTGGCCTTTAATATAACCTTCCTGGACTCTTTTTGTCTACTTTTGGTAACAGGTCGGCTAGCTTCATAAACTGGGTGGAGAAGTATGCCCTCTTTCTCATCACCGAAAAAGTTCATGGAAGATTGGAATTACCTGCTCCTTGAATGTTTGTATAACTTGTTTATAAAGCTACATGGGGCCAGAATTTTAATAGGAATCCTTCAACTACTTCCTCCATTTCTTTAAAGATTATAGGACTATTCAGGTCCTCAATTTCTTCTTGAACCAACTTTTCAAAAGTTGCATTATTTCCTAGGGACTTATCCATTTTACCTGGTTTTCAAATTTACTGTTCTAAAGATGTCTTAATACTCTCTTTTATTTCTTTAATGTGTGTAACATCTATAGTTAGGTATTTTTTCATTTTTATTTCTGTTCATTTGTACCTGGTTTGAAATTTTTTTATTGCTCTTGAGAAAAGTTTTTCAATTTTCTTGATCTTTTCAGTCCTAACATTTTCTGCTTTTTAAAATCCCCTATATTTCCTTGTCACATTACTTTCTTCTTTCATCCTTATTTTTCCTCCTTTCTACTTTCTTTGAATTTATTCTATTCTTTTTTTTCTAACTAAGCTGGAGAATTAGGACATTAAGGTTTTCTGTTTTTCAATATAAGGAGTTAAAGCTATACATATCTTCCCATTTACTGCTTCTCACAAGTTTTCATATGTAGACTGCTCATAATTGTTCATTTCTAACACATTTTTATATACATACGGTAGAAATCTATAGAAGATGTCAACTTGAGGCTAAATTGATTCAAGGAAAGATGGTTAATGCAGTGTGTCTGCAGCAGACGTCCCATTGTATGTCCATTCATCTTCAAAGTGATTGATACTCCAAGCAAAGCAGGAAAAGGTCCATTACACAGAAGAAGCTGTATTTTAAGTGACTCTCCTCTTTCCCTCTTTCCATATTTTTTCTTACCACAGAAATTGAACATTTCTGCTCTCTGGGAGGAATAGAAATGAAGCTTCCACTTTTTGTTGACATCAAAAAAAAGAGTGACAATGCTGGGGCTAAAGTCTGGCAGGCTCTCTCTTTCCCTCTCTCTCTCTCACCCCCTCTCTACAGGCCTGCAGCCCCGTGGCTGGACCCTCTGAGCCTCAGGATGCTCCATCTCTTGCTGGAAGGATAAGTGCATTTCCAAAAGATGGAGTGGAAAACCTCACTTTCTCCTGGGATTCTACCACAATTTAAAATTCAGCTTCACCGGTAATAAATTAGATATTCACTGTTAATAAATTCACTAATTTTTTTTAAAGATGGAATATCGCTCTGTCACCCAGACTGGAGTACAGCAGCACAATCTCGGCTCACTGCAACCTCTGCCTACTGGGTTCAAGAGATTCTCCCGCCTCAGTCTCCCGAGTAGCTGGGACTACAGGCATGTGCCACCACGCCCGGCTAATTTTTTTGTATTTTTAGTAGAGACGGGGTTTCACCATGTTGGCCAGCCTGATCTTGAACATCTGACCTCAGGTGATCCGCCCATCTTGGCCTCCCAAGATAATCTATTTTAATTCCCACATTAATCCTGTGCTTATTTCTCATTGCTTCAGAATCTGGAGGGAAAGGGATGGATTGATAAGGTTTCTGGAGAACCCTCGACAAATACTAAAAGGAAAGATATTTTAATCTCAGCTTCTTCAGGTGGGAATGAGAGTTGTGGGATCTGTGGCTGGGGTGCCAGAGGTCTGATAAAGACTAGGGAACTTCTAAAGCCGAGCCATGGGAGAGAAAAGGAAGCAAGCTGTACTTTTTCATTACTGTTCATTTTAAGGGGAAATCAGAAACAAAAAAAGGGCTGTGCTTTGAAAACCAAAGATGTCCTGTATGTCCTTGATCAATAGGCACACACTGCATATGGCAGAGTGACAAACTAAAACTAGAACAGGGAAATAACACACCAAGCGTACAAACTCCAAAAGGCTAAACAAACATCCTGGGAACCCAGTGGTTTTCTTTGTGTGCACAAGCCCTGCACATTTTGGTATCTAGGTTACCAACTTTCCCAAATGATTGATTTTGTCGTGTAAAGTGGAGGTGCTGCTTTTTAGAACATCTTGGCCCCAATTAGTCTGCTGGGCTCCTTGGGGCAGCACTGCCTGGACGTGCTACTTGGGTACTACCATCAAATTCTAGCATCACCTCTGCAAAATGACCTTGGGAAGATAGAACATGTATGATGAACAGAAAAACATAACTAACTTCCTTTTGCAGTACAAAGGAAATTATTTAAAACACATTTAGAGACCTACGTATGCTATACGCAAAGTGTGTACTTAGCATCCAGGTACCAAGCGGCTCTACTGTGGGCAGTGACTGCTCTAGTGCCTGTCATTTCTGAGGGGAAAAGAAAGGTTGCTGCTGCTTATAAAATAGCCTCTTTGTAGGCATTTTGTCTTCAGGTCCACATGTCAGTCACTCAAAAGTTGCTAAACACTTATTCTGATTCAAGCATTATAGTGTTAAATACTAGGGGAAAACATACAGAAGCAATCTACACAGAAAAGTCTAGTTGAGGAGACAAGAAGCTTGTTCCCCATTCTATTGTGAAACAATCAGTGTGATGGGGCGTATAATCAATTGCTAAATGGCGGGATGGAATTTAAAGAAGAACACGATCAGTGGTCTGAGGAAGCCCAGCCATGAAGGACAAGGATTTTGATAGCAAAGAAGCAGCCATACTTAAAACATCAGGCTTCACCGTCTTAGCCTTACGACTCACAACGTGAAGGACTTTGGGCAAGTGACTTCTCCCCCCAGAGCCTCAGCTTTCCCATCTGAAAACGGGCATAATATTATCTTCCTAAGGGAGTTTGTAAATAAGCTAATGGGAAGAGGCAGTGTTGTCTAGCCTGTTGCAATTAACCACTCAATTCTGTGAGGGGGGAGTGGCCCACAGGACTAAGGGACAGGAAACCCTGAAGAGGCGGGGAGGTGGGAATTGAACAAAGCAGTCAATGGGATGAAGGTGCATCCTGGGAAGTGATGGAAAATGCAAATGATGGAAGGCGGCTCTGGAAGTTGGGCACAGTAACTCAGCCTTGATGGGAGAGTCAATGAAGAGCCATTAGAGTGCCCCGGGCAATGGGAAAATTGTTAACAGTGGTGATTTATGGACATAAATCCAGTAAGGCAAAAGGAATAAAACAGGCAGGAGAGGGAGGCCAGCTAGAATTGAACCAACTATTTTCAGCCTCCATATGTTTTTTCTCTTCCTTACAAGAGCAATAAGTACACCACATATTTGTTTAGCACCTGATACTTACAAAGTACTTAGGCAAACTTTAGTGCATTTTGAATTTGCAACCTTTGGAATATTATAACAATGTACCCATGAGAAAACTTTTAAGTTCAGAGTTAAATGATTTACCTATATCACATAGTGAGTGGCAGAAAGAGGATTTGAACCCTGACTTTTTTTTTTCTTTCTTTTTTTTTTATATTATTATACTTTAAGTTCTAGGGTACATGTGCACAACGTGCAGGTTTGTTACATATGTATACTTGTGCCATGTTGGTGTGCTGCACCCATCAACTCATCAGCACCCATCGACTCGTCATTTACATCAGGTATAACTCCCAATGCAATCTCTCCCCCCTCCCCCCTCTCCATAATAGGCCCCAGTGTGTGATGTTCCCCTTCCCGAGTCCAAGTGATCTCATTGTCGAACCCTGACTCTTAAACTCAGGCTCCTGAAATGGGCAGCAGAACCAACACCAAGAAACAGGCTGCTGGGGGTCATCTGCACTGCAATGTGAGAGTCAAGTCCAGTGATAAGAATGATACAGCAAAAGATCATGGGATTAGGGTCAGTGGGTCCAGGGTTTGCACCTTCTTTTTCTTTGGGACTCTGGGCAAACCATTTGACCTCCTCAAGCCTAAGTTTATTTGTGGGAGGGAATTTCCTTTTCCTCTGGCATCACATTTCTATGAGGAGGAACATCCAGTGCAGTAAAATTCTAGGCCTCTTTTCTCTTTTCCTCTCATTTCTTCTAGGTATAGGAAGAGCCCCTGATCAGACTGGTGAATTTAGGATAAGGAGCTGAGTATGCCTTGCTAGCCCCTTTCTCTCCCATCTTCCTGGGGATCTGCTAATCAGAGGAAGCCCATGCTTGCCCCTCCAGGATGCAAGTTGAACAGGTGCAGGGGAGGACCCTGGGGAAGGGCCACTGCTATCTGAGTGGTGAAGAGTGGTCTAGTCTCACCGGCCTCCAAAGTTGTATTATATCTGCCCATCTAGTGAAGATCAGTTCTTAAAGCTGGCCTTTTGATCTCCATTGCCTGAAGCTCTGGTGGGGAAAAGAAGTAACATTCTTAATTGGTAAAAATAAAGTCGATGGCCGGTCACAGTGGCTCATACCTGTAACCCTAGCACTTTGGAAGACTGAGGCGGGCGAATTGCTTGAGCTCAGGAGTTTGAGACCAGCCTGGGCAACATGTCTCTACAAAAAATACAAAAATTAGCCAGGTGTGGTGTCATGCACCTGTGGTCCCAGCTACTCAGGAGACTGAGGTAGGAGGATCACTTGAACTCAGGAGGTCCATGCTGCATTGAGCCGTGATTGTGCCACTGCACTCCAGCCTGGGCAACAGAGTGAGACCCTGTCTCGAAATAAATAAATAAATAAATAAATAAAAGTTGATATACAACCTCACAAATTTATTATGAATAATAAAAATAATATATGTGAAGTGCCTGGCATATAATAGGCAAGAAAAAGAATGGTAAATATTATCATGGGCTCATAGATTTTCTTAACAGCCATTAAATCTGGGCCACTCCTTAATTTCTAGAAATAGTGGGTCAGAACTTTCCAATAGTCATAACAATAAAATCTCATTAAAACACCAAGAAAGAATTCAAATTTAACTTCTCAGATATTGGTTGGTGGCAATGATTGCTTAAAATAAATTAATCATCAACAAGGGAATTTTGCTACTCTGGTTTTTGCAGGGGTGAGATACCAAAAGGAAATGCAATGTTGCAATTGGACCTTTATGATCAGATTCACAAATACAAAAACACTGATGACTTTTCCTTTTGGTTTTCTGAGAGAAGGCAGAGGAATCTTTGTTTGAAGCACCTTCAAAAATAAGCCTAATTCTGCCTCAAAACTACGAAGCAGCACACTGGGATGGCTACTGCAATCCGGACAACCTTTATGTTCTCGCTGGGGTCGTGACATTTGGGAGAAATGAGGCAAAAGAATGGAACAAAGGATTCCTCTTAGCAGAGACTGGCAAAGCTCTTTTTTTTGGGATAATGTGCCACCTGAGTATAAAATCATTTTGAAATCTAACGTTGGCAAAGGCGAATAAACACATATATCTGCACAAACAGCACCTAAGGTAGAAGAATGAAATCTCAGCATGGGCCTGGTCAGGTGCACATCTAACAGAGTCTTACCAAGCACTAGCTCGATTCTCAAATGGTTTTGCATCACTGAACATCACTGACCCCTCTCACCCAGGTTCGCAATACACGTTCGCACGCACAGACTCTAGACACGGCATTCGTTAGTGGACACCATGAGGCAGCAATGAAGTTCTGGCAAGTGATTGACAAGCCTTTTCTGAGCGTTTCTTGTATGCGAAACTTGTAACCTGTAAACCTTGTAAACCTGGTGGCGATCTCCAGTGCCTCCTCACCTCTTTCATTATTTTGATGGCTTCCACACGGTGCTGGGGTGGGGGGTACAGCAGCACTCGGTGGTAGAGGGACTGCAGCACGGGCTTCATGGAGTCCACGGACCCCACCAGCCGGACCAGCTCGGCTGCAATGTAATAGATAGTCCGAGCCACAGGCCCGCTCAGGGCTGGAGCAGTGCAGGAGCAGCCTGATCCCCGGCCATGATCAGACACTCCCGGAGACGCAGAGTCCGACTCCAGGCTGGTACTGGTGCTGCTGCTGTGAGCAGAGGTGATGGTTTTGTCATGAATTGGATTCCCCAGGATGACGATGAGAGCAGGGCAGAGGTTCTTCCTGGGAAGAGATGGTGAGAAAAGTAAGTTTCCCCACAAGACAAATGACAACATTTACTCTGCGAGTAAACAGATGCTGCAGAAATGACAAGAGTGGGGCTCTTTACTGCTTCTTCTTTTGGCTACATTTTGCCCGTTTTCTAAGTCTCTCTAACATTTCTGGGTATTTCAACAATACTTTTACTCATAAATTGAGCTAGCATGAATGAAATAATATATAAGAGAAGCATTAAGAAACCATCATAAGTGAAGAAATGGGCTCAAAATGCTAAATGGCTGTTATAAAGTTTCATATTACTATAAATAACAAAATTATTTACCATTTGAGAAGTTAATTGCAAATTCCACACTGACACCTGCCATTTGGCTTCCTTCCTGTCGATAAGCCCAGGGATCCCGAAAACCAGCTGCCTGCCTGCGGGGCCTGTCACTTCTGGGAATCTCTGACTATGATTAAGAGACTGGTATTTGGGTTGAGATGGAGCTAGGGCTAGGAGTAAAGCTCAGTATCTCTTGCTCCCTGCATAAGTTATCTGCTTTTTGAACGAGCTGAAAACACAGAAAAATTTTCTGGTTCTGGTATCTCATGATCCTATGATATAAACCAAAGAGGGCCTTGGAAGCATATTCTGCCATAATCAGCATCGGTTTTTCTGCGGATTTTGGTCTGATGGATGTCAACAAAACAATTTATCTGCTTTATTATTATTATTATTATTATTATATATTTTTTTGAGACAGAGTCTAGCTTTGTCGCCCAGACTGGAGTGCAGTGGCGCGATCTCAGCTCACCGCAACCTCCACCTCCCAGGTTCAAGTGATTCTCCTGCCTCAGCCTCCCAAGTAGCTGGGATTACAGGCGCCCACCATCACACTCAGCTAATTTTTGTATTTTTAGTAGAGACAGGGTTTCACTGTGTTGGCCTCGAACTCCTGACCTTGTGATCCGCCCACCTAGGTTTCCCAAAGTGCTGGGAGTGTGAGTCACTGCACCTGGCCTATTATTATTATTATTATTATTATTATTTTCTGAGAGTCTTACTCTGTCTCCCAGGCTGGAGTGCAGTGGCTTGATCTCCACTCGCTGCAACCTCCACCTCCTGGGTTCAAGCAATTCTCATGCCTCTGCCTTCCAAGAAGCTGGGATTACAGGTGCCCACAACCACCATGCCCAGCTATTTTTATACTTTTAGTAGAGACTTAAGTTTCATCATGTTGCCAAGGCTGGTCTCGAACTCCTGGCCTCAAGCAATCTGCCCGCCTCGGCCTCCCAAAGTGCTGAGATTACAGGTATGAGCAACTGTACCTGGCCACAATTTCCCTGCTTTCTCTCTATGACATTTATGCACAGATGAAACTACTACTGGTGGGTCATGGACTTCATGGAGAGGGACCCAGAGACACAGCCAGCAGAAGCCCTTGGGTTAGTGTCAGCATGGGGGCGTCAGGAGTGGGTGCTCACCAGATCAGGTCCGTGAAGCGCCTGTGCAGGTGCATGGAGGAGGAGGAGCTGCTGAGCACAGACAGGACGCACTCCAGGTAGAGAAGCTGCAGCTGCTGGCTGTCACTGTGGAAGAGCAGAACCGACACAAATGCAGACAAAAGACAAGACAAAATTAAAGAGGTAATGTGTGGAAACATGCTCGGAAAAATGGTAGGCGCTACCAAAGTGCTAGTTTTTGGGGGAAGGTTAGCATTATGGGTTGAACTCTGTCTCTCTCCCCAAATTCACAGGTTGGAGTCCTAATCTCCAGCACCTCTGAATGTGACTTTATCTGGAGATAGGTCCTTACAGAGGTGATCAAGTTAGACTCAGTTCACTGGGGGGATGCTAATCCAACATGACTCTGTCCTTAAAGAAATGGAAATTTGGACACAGAGACATTCATTGAGGGAAGACAGTGTGAAGTGACACAGGGAAAAGACAGCCATCTACAAGGTGAGGAGAGAAGCCTGAGGAGATCCTTCTCTCTCCGTTCTCAGGAGGAACCAACCCCACTGAAGCCTTGATCTTGAACTTACAGGCTCCAGAACCGTAATACAATAAATTACTGTTTAAGGTACTCAGTTTATGGCACTTTGTTACAGCAACCTCAGCAAAATAATACAGTTGGGTGAATTTTTTTTTTTTTTTTTTTTTTTTAACTAATAAACTTTACTTTTTAGAGCACTTGGAGATTTACAAAAAACTGACCATGAAACAGAGTTACCATATTGAACTATTATTAAACCTTACATTGGTATAGTACATTTGCCACAATTAATAAAAAATTGATATATTAACTAAAGTCCGTAGTTTATGGCAGAAATGCTAATTTTTATATTATCTAAACCTTTCAAGAGACCGTTTACCACATTATCTTTTCATTGGTGAACACTTTATGAACTTGCATTAGACTTTTCTTCCTTATTGAGGAAACGTGATTTTTCTGTGGAGAAATTATTTTGTGTCCAAGTTATTATTATGGGGTTCCTCATAGAGGAACAGAGCCAGATGAAGAAAACAGACAACTTTATGGGGAACACATTCCTAATATCCAGATTAACTTCTCTCCCCAGCCTACCAGAAAGTATTAAAATCCAGGTAGGTGACAAGAGTGACAGATAGGGCTAAGGAAGAATTTAATTTTCAGGGACATGTTTATTGCAAACACATAATAAATCCTTTCTTAGAGAGTTCACTCAGTAATGTGGAATGGGAATACTCAGAAAAAGGAAAAACTTGCTTATAAAAATAATTTTTGGTTGTGTCTCTTTCACCTAATTTAAAATAAATAAATGTCCAAAGGAAGTCAGGAAGTCTAGTGTCTTTGACAGTTCAAATAAGTCCCAGGAGAAGGGGGTGGAAGGAACAGAAATGCTCATGACAGGCCAACTAGAAACTTGAAGAGAGAGGAAGGAAGCAAAGAAAAGTTAACAGTAGACAGTGCCAGGGCTAGAGGTTACATCCACACAACTGCCAAATTGAGAAAGACCGTGCAATTGTAAGACACAGGATAGTAAGAGGGATGGAGTCCTTTATTTATGTGCCATTAAATACCCCAACATTGATATTATGCCCGAAAGCCTTTTGTGGCCTCTTCACTAAAAATACTGTTTTTATTTTCTTTTAAGGTTTATAGAACTAAACAAAAACAAAGACAAGAGACAGAGATAGTTTGTAGCCCTTTATAGAAAAAGATTCCCGACCCATATTCTAAAATCTCCCTTGTCTAAAGAGAGCTGTATAATGATTAAATAATGTTATTATTCTGTAGAAGGGAAAGTCACTTATATTTGGATATACTCTGTCTACCACACCCTTTGAGAGTAGAAGAAGAAATGGGGAAAGGCTGAGTCTCCACAAAAATTATTCCTATTTGCCAAGAGGAAGGTGATGGATGGAGGAAGAGTAAGAAATCATGAGCCATTCTTGGGCCAGGTAAGGACCTCACATTTCTAGGCTTCTAGTCCTACAAGCTTCCCTACGCTTTTGACCACGACGTAGCTCTTGACATGAAACAGGAGGTTTCTTCACTCTTATGGAACTGGACAGACATATAAGCCAGTAGATAAAGCACGGGTGGGAAGGGCTGTGAACGAATACCTTAACACAAGGTTCTGTGAGACCATATGGCAGGAGTACCTTCTTAGAAAGAATATCCACAGGACACGCTGTCTTAGTAGATTCTCAAGTTCAAGTAGGAGACTGTGGCATGGTGAGGCACAGGAAGAGGTGTCACAAAATGTGGGGGTGGAGGAGGAAGGGATCTGGGCTGAGAGGTTGTGGCTAAAGCACAGTGTGTGAGGATGGTATCAGCCTGAGAGGTGGACAGAGGCCCGATCAGGAAGGGTCCTGTAGGCCCCGCTAAGATGTCTGGACTTTATTTGGAGGTAAAACAGTGACATGACCAGATCTGTATTTCAGAATGTTCAATTTGTTTGTTTTACGAGGAAGAGAGTGGACAGGACAAATCAGAGGGCCATGGTATCAATTGTAAGCCATATTTAAAAAATCACTTCTGGAAGGATGGCCTTCACTGTAGTCTCGGTTAATCATTCTGACCAATCACTTGACCCGTTATTAAGAGGAAGAATTATTAAATGCTCCAATTCAAAAATTTCTCTTTTTCTTTCAAACTGTCAGTCTAGCATCACAAAACGAAAACAACTATAGACTGGAAAGACTCTCACTTTCTGAAATCATTGGAAATAAGTCCATAGAAAAGCTATGAGTCATTAAGCTATTGGCAAAGTGTGCCACGGTGAATTCTTCAACCCCGAGATTATCAGACTCACTGACAGGGAACGCATTGCCAAGGTAACTGGCCTGAGAGTCTCCTTGGAGACTGAACACAGCAGCTTTTGCGTGGGTTGCAGCAGTCTGGAAAACAGGTGATCGTGGCCGTGCATGAGTCACACCATTAAAGGAGCTGTTTAAAACGTAAGTACCTTCCACTAGATACACACGCGCACGCACACATTGTGTATGCATATAACAGCCAGCCCTACACAAACAAGTAGAATGCACAAGGCAAAAAGTAGCCTAGAAACCAGCCAACTCCTTCAAAACACACAGGGAAAAACCTGTCCACTTAGGAGGGCTGTAAGTCACTTTCCTTGGTCTTTTGTCTGAGCATTTCATGGTTGACAGGCTGAGTATCTGCTGGTTTCGTTCTCTGCTCATCACTGAACTGCTTCCGAGGTGCACGATCTGTGGAGAACAGCGCTCAGGCGTGGACCCACGGGCCGTGAAGGCGAAGCAGCCACATCTCCTGGCAAGGCTACTGGGAGGGCAACCTAGCACGTTTTGTATCTCTGGAGTTCTTAGGGTTTTGTTTTGAACCATTTTGACTTTGCTTCCCTTAGAAATAGATTTGAATTTAGTTAAAGGAGAGAAGAAATTTAGTAATTGTGTAAGGAGAGAAATGGAATTAACACAGACAGTGGGAATGCTTTGGTAGGCCCCATCGATTCCAAGCCTGCGTTGGTATAGGTTTCACTCTAACATTCTGTTCTAGGAGGAGAGGGAAGCAGGGAAAGAGTGATGGGAAACAGGCAGAGAATAAGTATCTTTCTAAGCCCAATTATCCTTCCTGAAATTCTTGGATTTAAAAAGCATCATGTAACTCAACTTGCCTAACATAGGATTCTATTAATACCACATTGCCAAGGCATGCGAGGGAGTGTTCTACATTCCTGAATACATTTTCTGAATCCTCCCAAGAGACCAAGCATATCATGAACACACACCCCTACAGAGCTAAAGCCCTAAGAGGCACTAATTTTGGAAATGGCTGTTGAGGTTAGTAAATACTGATTCTAGTGTAATTTCAGAGGAATAACCTATTCAGAGGGTAGAAGAGGCATCAAGTTTAGCTAATAGAAATAAAGGAATTAAGTTAGCAAAATCAGAAGCAATGGTACACAAGTGAAAACTTAGCAAGGAGAATGAACAGAAGCACCAGAGTGAGAGTAGCCGGGGCACAGGACTATCTTACCAGGTGGACATAAAGTCTTCCCTTACAGCTACGCTAAGCATCCTGTGCCCCCAGCATCTTTAGCAAAAGGCCCCCATCTTAGGGTAATAGAGTCATGATGGCAAATACTGAAATCAAACAAAGCAATCAATTTCTAGAGGCAGAACTATGACCAGGGGAATTGTACTGGAAAATCAAGCAAGACTGAGAATCCTATAAAATCATTAAGCTCTAAAATAACATGCCTAAAGCCATCTTCGATCCAATGTACAATGAGAAATCCTAGAAAAATGTGCACGTGAATTATTTTCTCCATTTAAAACCTATTCTCAAATTCCTGACATCAAGTGATCCGTCTGCCTGGGCCTCCCAAAGTGCCGGGATTACAGGTGTGAGCCACCAAGAGACCAGCCTAGCCAACATGGTGAAACCCCATCTCTACCAAAAATATAAAAAATTATCTGGGTGTGGTGACGCATGTCTGCAGTCCCAGCTACTCAAGAGGCTGAGGCAGGAGAATTGTTTGAACCCGGGATGCAGAAGTTGTAGTGAGCCCAGATCACGCCTCTGCACTCCAGCCTGGGCGACAGGGTAAGACTGTCTCAAAAAAACAAAAACAAAATACCTATTCTTAAGTCATGTGGTTAAGAAATGCTTTGTTTTTCAGTGACTGATTGAAATCTACAACCTTTATTTTCTAATATGTATGTGTGAGCACTTTCAGTGTGTGTTTGTGCAATGCATTTTCCTAACAATCTACGTCAAATTTCTGATGTACACAGCCCAGTGTTCTTAACTGTATGATGACTAGAATTAGCAGCAACTATTCTAAAAGCAAACAAACCAGTTTAAAGCAAATGTATGTCAAATATTTACTACATGCTAGACACTGCGCAATCAAAAATAATTCTACTTACAGCAGTACTTCCTAGATTTCAAAACTGAGTGTTTATAATAATTACATTATAGGCATAACCTTAAATACCCACAGGTAAACCAGGTCATATGGTTGCCCTACAGATGACAGGGATTCCTGGAGCTGATGGGGATTTCTGGGTGGCTGGAGCCATCCAGGTTTAAAGAACCGTGAACTTGAATCCCAGAATGCCAGGCACTCACTGAACCTAGCTTTTCTGACTAATGAACAATGGTATGTTTTAAGCCTATCCATGTTGGGCCTACAGACTCATTTTGCCTTATCCTGCTGACTAGGGACTTATTTATGTATGTATGTATGTATGTATGTATTTATTTATTTATTTCGGAGTTTTGCTCTTGTTGCCTAGGCTGGAGTGCAACGGCACGGTCTCAGCTCACTGCAACCTCTGCCTCCCTGGTTCAAGCGATTCTCCTGCCTCAGCCTCTCTAGTAGCTGGGATTACAGGCACCCGCCACCACGCCTGGTTAATTTTTTGTATTTTTAGTAGAGATGGGGTTTCACCATGTTGGCCAGGCTGGTCTCAAACTCCTGACCTCTAGTTAGGTTTTAATTACTAACTGGCATAACTACCATGAGCCTCTCCCATGTTTCTGGCACTTAAAAACTCCAGATTTTTCCCTTAGAAAACTACTCAGAAAAAAGTTTAGCTAATTAGTTTTCCCTTGCTTATGAAGTAACAAATACAGTCTTCATAGTTTTTGCGGTTCTGGTGGTCTTCGTGCTATTCCCTGCCAATGCTAGCACGTGGGGGTGGAGCAGGGGTCAGGGAGAAGCACCCCCGACAGCTGGCAGTACCTGGTTGCCACCAGCGAAGCTGCGGTGTCCCCTGGTGAACACAAACAAGTTCACCTGTTAACATCAGATGAGGACTCACCATGAATGCGCTGGAACAGGATGAAAGCCAATCAATGGCCACGCCTGAACAGAGGTCTTCTTTTTTAAAAGGGCTCCGTATGACCACAAAAATGAACAAATGTCCCTCTCCCCTATGACTGACTCCCACTTCTTCTTCTATGACAACTCTAGCTCCCATCTGTTGGTCCTGCCTGCTAGAAAAAATTAAGATGCCCAGTGCTAGAATTGCGCCTACTTTCTGACAGCACCCAATCTTTGAACAGAACGGTCAATTTATAACCCATTCTAAGTCACCTAACTCATGCTAAAATCCTATAACAACCCCTCCTAACACCCTTTTACTGTCCTGTGGTTTCCCATGGTGGACAGGCTCCCTCACATAAGAAGTTACTAAAATGAATCCTGTTAACTTCAGGTGTTCCTGGAGCTCTGTGGCTGATGGGCATTGGCAGTCTTTTAAGAGTATTTTCTCATTCGATCTTACAAAAACATCAATGTGTTTTGTATTACTGATATTCTATACAATATTATAGTAATTACCATAAGAAATAGTATATTAATTATTTCATAGGATATACAAACTTAGGGTGGTTCAGATCTTTGTCCAAAGTCACACGCCAGTAAGGGGCAACGTGTGGGTTTTAACCCAGGTAATCCAACAAAGATAATGTAGTTGAGCCAATAGTGATTAAACATCACTCTTGATTGTGTCTTAGGAGAAAATATGCCAATAGAAACATATTCCAACTCTGCTATACCAGCTGTCTGTGTTATCATGGAGGGAACTGGATGGGGAGGGGGAGGACTTAGCACTAGAAGAGATCAGACCTCTGGTCACTGATGGGTAAAGTGAACACATGACCTAAACCAGAACACCTTTGAGAGTGAAGGAGGGTAATTATAATTATTACACAACAGGTATAATCTGGGACTGTCCCAAGCAAAGCAGGTGGCATGGGGGCCTTAAAGATGGGGTCGCTGCAGTTGGTGCTAGAGCCCTCAGTTAGGATGGTAATCTGAGTGCCAGCTCCACTGTTCCAACACTCCATGGTCAGGAAAGATGCGGACCTACGCAGGGTACAGCAGGAGCTATTTACATCCATCTGCTGTGGGACTCAGCCCTCCTGAGCAGGGGGAAGCCCAGACCTGCTGCCTGCCTAGCCTGCCAGGGTCCAGGGATGGGAGAAATTTGAGGGTGGGGGGTAGAGAAAAAGTGCTATTTCTTTTTGGTTTATACTATCCATGTATTAAATAGGCCTTTTCATTTTTAAAAATAAATTTTATTTGCATATTTAAGGTTTACAACATGATGTTATAGGATTTATATATATTCTAAAATGGTTACTATAGTGAAACAAATTAACATATCCATCATCTCACATAGTTACTCATTCCCTCCCACCACCCATCCACAGCCCAGTGGCAAGAGCAGCTGTAAGCTACTCATTTAGCAAAGATCCTGAATACAATACATTATTAATAACTATAGTCCCCATGTTGTACATTTGATCTTTAGACTTATTCCACCTACACATTTGCTACTTTGAATTCTTTGGCTTATATCTCCCTATTTCCTCTCCCCGACCCCAACCCTGGTATCACTATTTTATTTTCTATTTGACCTTGAAGTGCCTCAATAAAGAGAGCTTACTTTGGTCAAAATATAGAGGTGACTTACAGGAACAACAGAAGAATTGATGAAGAAACCATTTGGCAACAACTTCTAAGAGTAATTCTAAGCTTAGCTTAAAAAATAATCCTAAATTTCTGAGAAACCAAAAGCCAAACAAATTAAAAGATGAGTTTCTGTAATATTTCCAGCAAAGTGAGACACCTCATTCTTGCCTACAACCTGACTATTTCTCCCAACTTATTCCTGCATTTAAAATTCAGCAAGTAAGTTTTCTGCATCATCAGATGTCCTAGTTACAAATGAATGATAGTTTAATGTCTTTCACAATTCAAAGGGCCCTTCAGAATTGTAATGTGTTGAAGAATTTTGCAATTCATGACATATGTAGCTGGTAGAGACTTTTCATCCCATGTTGAAAGTCTGGTGTTTTATGATTTGGCTTTACTACAGGTACACAGGTTGTCTTGTTAACGACTGCACGGAAAGATGGAGCAGCAGGCATCACCTAAGTGAACTCAGATATTAATTGATATACAAAAACAAAAAGTAAAAGTCAGAGTAACATGCTCTTTTTAAAGCCAGTTGTGTGAGCTCATAGGCTCTAGAATGTCAGAAGAAATAGAGATAAATTACACAGTCCAACGAGGGCAGCACAGTTTGATGAGAAGAGTCACGCACCGGGACACAGCTGAGATCTGGCCGAGACAGGACCGGCTCTTACACCAACTAGCACTCAGCCCAAGATTCTTCCCACTCAGCTTCATGCTCCAGGAAGCAATTGCTCTCTGTAAGGTATTGTGTTCCCATTGTCACAGCAGAAAGTTATATACTCTAGTAATGGTATTTGGTTATTTGAATTGTGCCAAATTTCAGAATATATTCCTTAGTAAATACCAGTGTTGAGTCCCTATAATCTTACAATCCATAATTTGAAGCGATGCTGTAGACAAAGGTTATTTCAGAAGGAGACCACCAGTAAAGAAAAGTGGCAATGGTTAGGGCACTTACTTTATGGCGGCTTGCAGCTTCTCACACAGGACGGTGAGTACAGAGACAACATCATCACAGAGGGACTCTACTGTTGACCCTTCAAAACAGAGGAGGTTACAGGCATGAGACATCAACAGAGGGCATGACAAGTTCCCTGAACCGTCCTTCCCATCCTCCACTTTAGATGGTTTTTGAGACTGAAAAGATGATTTTCAGATGTGGAGAAGCCCTTAGGCCACCAAAGTGATGATCACAGAAATGATAAGAATTAAGTGTAATTATTCCTTTTTTTGTTTTTTGGAGGCAGAGTCTCACTCTGTCATCCAGGCTGGAGTGCAGTGGCACCATCTTGGCTCACTACAACCTCCGCCTCCCAAGTTCAAGCAATTCTCCTGCCTCAGCCTCCCAAGTAGCTGGGATTACAGGCACCTGCCACCACACCCAGCTAATTTTTTGTGCTTTTAGTCGAGACGGGTTTCACCATGTTGGCCAGACTAGTCTTGAACTCCTGACCTCAGGTGATTCACCCCCTCAGCCTCCCAAAGTGTTGGGATTACAGGCGTGAGCCACCGCACATGGCCTATAATTATTCTTTCTAAAGCAAGACACTCAAAAAGATAGTCCCAAAAGAAAATAATAGATTGTTTTTTATTATCAATAAAATTCACACTTACCAAAGGGAAATTAGTAATTTCAAAAACATCATGATAGACAACAATTTTCTTAATATTTAGGCCATGTGTGTATTCCTTATTCTGACCCTTGAATTTCTGGGTCTTCTGAGCTGATTAGAATAGTATCCCAGAGAGATAAAATAAGGCAGCATGGGAAAAGATGGGCTTTGGAACTAAGAAATCAGAGAAAAATGGGGCGAAATAATTTAGCCAGATCTTTACCTACTTTATTTGTTGAGCATCTGCAGGGCACATGGTCTTTGTTGATACTGGAGCAATAGTTGATGTCGGAAAAATAAAATTTCCCTCTAAATGTGCTCTAGTTTCCAGAAACTAGAACCAAAACTCCCACAGAAGCATAGTGGGAAATTTGGAATCTGTTCAACTACACGTCAAAAACTGCTGATTGTGTGAGTTTGGGCAAACTTCAGTTTTTCTTCTGTCAAAAATGGGATAAATAATACTAATTTCACAGAATTGTCAGGCTACGTGAAACAGCAAGTCGAAGCATTTGTTCCCTAAAATAAAAACCTGTAAAGGTCTTTACAAATGTGGCTCTAAGTATCTGATGAATGTATAAATGAATGATGATGGTGACGTCAAGGAAGATGGAGAGAAAATGGCAAGTGTGTAAGAGAGAAAGTAAAGTTGGAGGAAGGCAGGGAAAGAGAAATAAATGGCTGTTCCTCAGAATTAAGATCTTAAATGCAGCAATAAAGAAAAGAAATGATAAAACATAGTTTAAGATTAATAAAACCCACACAAGTAGTCCTTAAGCTCAATTTTAGATAAACGTTAAATGAGTCCCTCTGTCAATTTTTTACTATTATATTTTTTAGAGCTATATTCTTGACCAAGAAGATGCAGACCCCCTTTTTAGTTTATAAAATCATCCCACATTAAAGTGAAGCCTTTATGAGAACACCATAGCCAAAAAGAAGAAAGGAAGATGGAACATCTTAGCGCATGTCACTGAGAGCATCCAACTGAAAAGGGCACCTTCCAGTCCGTGGCCCAAGAATGTAGCATCATGGGACTGAAACAATACACTCTAGTGATGCTTTAGAATGTGACTTAAGGCGTGTCTCTTTCTCATTTCTTTCAAATACTCTTCCTCTCCTAGTTGTGGCTGGTAAGCTGTTTCTCTCCTTTTCATTCTCTCCCTTTTTTCCCCTCCTCCTCACCTCCATCTCCTTCTCACTATTATTAACTGGCAAATATAATAGAAAAGCAGATTTTTCCAATATTTAAAAAAATTACTCAGTCTGAATTTCAATTTTTTAATCAGATATTATTTTTGCATACTTTCAGAAACTAGTATCAAACCTGTTTTTAAAAATTAAATTGCTGGTTAATTATATATGTGGACTTCTATATTTTTTTCTTTTCCTGTGGGTCAGAATGAAGGTTCCTTAACTTGACTTCAGCTGATCTTTAAATTGGGTTGTCTGCAAGTGGCCCTGTGAGATGACTCAACATTCTTGTCAAAAAATTGGTATTTGACAAACACAATTCTGGTGCAGTAACACTGTATGCCAGTCAGGTTTCTACAATCTTCTATCCAGTTATTCTCATTTTAGCAATTAAACCTGACTTCATGGAGAATGAAGTAACTAACAAAGCCAGCCTGCAAATCAGAGGTATGTGAAGTGTTAATACCCCTCACAGAGTTGGATCAGGAACAGGTGTGGTTGGCATAAGTGAATGCAGGAACAGAAGAAAGACAGCAGCTGATTAAATAATGCCACCTAAGGCAAAGCCAAGCACAACCTCCAAGAGAATGGTAAAACAACCCGGGAGCTCCTAGACACCTTTGTACCCCTCACTCCAAACACTCAGTAGGCATTCTCACAGCTGCTTTAAAAACTGAACTAGTACAAATCAAATGCAATACCTTGATTCCCGAATTCCTGTGGGACATCTGGGTTTTCAATTATCTAGTAAGGGAGACACACACACACAATTAGGAGATTCAGGCAAGAAAAATCCTGACTCTTTGACGCTGGGAAAATTCTAGGACACAAAATGGCTTCTGGAGCGTCCTGGGCTCAGCTACCTTGCCTGAGCACACACCCCACCCACCAGCTCTTGAGAGCATTTCATTATTCATGGTGTTTATGAGAAAAATTATTATCTCTGGAACTGAGCTTATCAGTTCCCGAAATAATTCATTCAAGAGTGTCCACGCAAACGTGTGGACACGCCTCGTGGACACTTCCTGGAAGTTTAAACCCTTTGGTGCACTTAAACTCCCAGGATTCCAGGATGCTGGGCTGTGACCTGGGGCAATGCCTGCCTAAAGAGGTGAGTTAATTTCACTCAGAGAACAACCTATTCCAAGGCTACAGCTGACACTGTGCATGGCCCCTAATAAATACAGACTCTTGGCCATAAGCAGGATTAGGTTCCTGGACTTCAAAATAACTGGTCAGAATCTCCATCTTTGTATTTGATGGGGAGCATTTTAACCATACCGAGCCAGCTGCTCTTGGCTAGGTACATCCAGAACTATGAGGGCAGAGACAGAACCATGAGGGAAGGGAAAATAGGAAGGAAAAGACATTTACAAATAATCTGACTTACTTCCCATTGCAGGGATAACTCAGCGACTACTGAGCAGAGACTAAGAAGGTGGCACTTTATTCTCCCTACCTCTTTGCACCAAGAGATGATAAGGAGGTATTTTCATACCAACTAATTACCAGACATGTAACTCATCCCATGGTGCTGATTTAATTTTTAAACTTGTTACAGGCACATATTTCTACCATTCTCTGTTCATTAATTTGCAAGCTCAGCTGCTTCCACAGCAACTTTTGTGAAATGTTATGTCAGTATCTACAGCTCAGAATGGCTAAAGCCAAGTTGAGAACAACACTTTCTGGAGGAAACACATTTGAGTCATATTTAAGGGTAGGAGAATCCCTCCATCCTTCAGCCCCAAATATTTAAATGTAGCAACTTTACTTTTTGAAATTAGTAATTTACAACTTAACAATAGCTTAGGTTACGTAAAATAATTTAATAATAAAGCTGGATAATATGGAGGATTTGTGATGACAAAAAATCAAAATTATCATCTGTCCTGGGGTGCAACTGGGGATAAACATTAGGTTGAAGATACACATCCTGCTAGTGATTTTGGCGTTCTACATTATTTATTTTCTTTCCACTGCATTTAGCCTTCCTAATTTTGAGGTGGCCCATGATGTCTTTCCCGTTGATAACTGAAATGAGTGACTGAGGCAAGTATCTCAATCAATCGAAGTTTATTAAGACCGCTTTTGGGCACACCTGGGAAAAATGCGAGCCGTGACTGTCTGCACCTGTGGCTGTTTTTCCTGAAGAGGCTTTCAGGAGGTTTTACATTTCAGGAGGTTTCTATATTTCCTTAGAGGAAGGAGGAAGGCATGTAGGAAGAAGGACAGGTAGGCAGTAACGCAAATCGTTACATGCTTGTGAGATTTTACTTAGTGCCCAGTAAATCTAAATTTACATAAGGTGAATGTTTGAAGAAAAAAATGGGAGTAACAGAAGAATCAATTATGCAGATATCTCTGGGTAAATAGAAGAATGATGGATCTTGTCTTTAAAGATGGGCTTGTAATCAACATTATCAGTGTGGAATCAAACAGACTTTAGTTTTAGGAGCTAGACTTAGATTGCGGATCTAAAGTTACAATAGGCATGTCCTTGTTTATGGGAGGCCAGCAAAGTTTGACTGAAGAGTGATCTGTGGGGGCAGTCATTTGGGTATGCCTGAGGCCTCTTACCCTTCTGAGGTGGTCTGGCTGATGCATAACGCTAGTAGGAGCAACTTATTTGGAAGAGGGTGTTACATGACTCAGCCTCCGGGCTTAACCTTCCCGTTGGCATAAAAAATTGGGGGGTTCTGAGATTTTTAAAAATTTTCTTTTACACAGTGATAGGCCGTGCTAGAAAATACGCACAACTTCCCAAGGGAATGCTCAGTGTTCCCCAGGGGAATAAGTGACCTCTTCAGAGCAAACCTCTCCATTCCTACAGATGATTCCACTTTAAGAGCTTTAAAAAAATACCTAAATTCTTATGTGACAAAACTTATGTCTCCCTCCATTGGATATCACAAACGCTTCAAATACCAGCATCCTGAGAACGATGTTTTCTGGGACATGGAATTACATCTCCAGGGACCACATGAATAATAGAAAGGAAATAACAGGAAACACCAATTTTCCACTTAATTTGAGATCTTGCCTCCAGTTGGGGTGAGTCCAGATGGTCCACGATGAGCAGGACCAGAAGGCCTTATTAGCCACATAATACCCAGGATGGAGACAGACAGCCTCTACAGTATCAACTGCACCTCCACAGCCATACCTTTGCCATTCTTATAGAAGAGCAGTATGAACTAAAAGATTGGGATATTTGACTTGAAACCTAATACTCTCCTACTTAAAAATTTTAAAATAAGATTACATGAACTCATATAATTGAAAGCACTTTGAAATTACAAAGTTTGATTTAAATGTTTCATTTAAAATATTAAGATATTATTAATATAGTGTTTGGTCATATTGCCATTTAGCAAGGATGAAATATGAGTGTATATTATAAGATTTCTCAACATCTTAGATTTACGTCAATTAAAAACTTTTTCTCTTAATATGTTTTCTATTTATGTATTTTAATTTCTTTTAAACTAAATACTCCCATACTACCTATATCCAAAATCCTACTTTAAATGAAATTGTTTTTAGCAAGGGGTAAGCTAAAGTAACAAAAATATCTCAAGTTAAAACAATTTTTAATAGAAACTGGGAATTGGATACAGCAAACAGAAAAGAAAAAAAAAATCAATATTTGCTTTTTTCAGATTAGTGTTGTTTTCAACACTGGCTGCCAGAGCACATATTAAGTGAGAACTTGTACTGGCAGTCAGCTAGGAGACCAGGGGTTTACTTCGGGCTCCTTCATTGATAAGCTCATTCATTTTAGATTTCAATTTCATCTTTCTGGGCTTCACCTTCTCATCTGTAAAATAAGGAAAAAAGAATTTGACTAGATCATCTCTAAGGTTCCCCTCAACTCCGTGATTTTCTAAAAATTAGAAAATATTGAAATTAAAAATTACAAATAGTTGAAGTTAAATAAGAAATCCTAATTTTTATAAAATTAATTTTGGCGATATCTGGGACTGTAACTGAGATTTTCTTTTCTTTTTTTTTTTTTTTTCTGAGACAGAGTTTCACTCAGTCGCCCAGGCTAGAGTGCAGTGGTGTGATCTCAGCTCACTGCAACCTCCACCTCCTGAGTTCAAGCAATTCTCCTGCCTTAGCCTCCCACGTAGCTGGGATTACAGGTGTGCACCACCACACCCGGCTAATTTTTTGTATTTTTAGTAGAGACGGGGTTTCACTATGTTGGCCAGGATGGTCTCAAACTCCTGACCTCAGGTGATCTGCCTGCCTCAGCCTCCCAAAGTGCTGGGATTACAGGCGTGAGCCACCACGCCCACCTGTAACTGAGATTTTCTATTTGAACAAATAACGAATGTCATTTCAGAACACTCCTTGTAGATTTCAAAAGGATTTTAATCTAAATTATTACAGAGGCAGATTTTAAAACAACACAAAACACCAATTTTGAAGAGGAATCACTCTCTCATTAACATTCCCAGAAGATAATACATACAAGGAGCCAATTACATTTACATTTTCCCCTGGAATGCTCATTTTAGACAATCTGTTCAAGTTCAGAGCAAAAAGCTCTAATGGGCTTTGATGATAGAGAGAAGACAAGTTAGTTCAGTTTCACCCTGAAGGCCCCAGCAGGTGAGGGAGGTCTCCTGCCACCATCTTTTAGTTAACAAAGGGAAACATACCCAACCTCAAAGCATGTAATAAATTATACTCATTTTTCTTAATTTCAAATTTACTTCCAATATTTGTTAATGTATCACAATATTTCTAATACAAATTTTCAGTATGAGAAGTTTTAAAACAATGATTAAAAAATAAGTTTTAAAACAATAACAAAAAATTACAGAAACTGAGGAAAAGCAATTCTCAAAGCTTTGGGGTGAAACAGGCAAACATCTAAAGAGCTTAATGTATACAAATAAATGTTCTTTTAAAACAAGCAGGCCCTTCCTACTGTTTTCAGGAGGCAGGCAGCCCTGGCAGGAGGGGCCCCCGGGTGTGGGATACACAGACACCACCAGGAAGGTGATGAACGTGGGGGTGTCACAGACTCACCGTATTCTCCTGCCTCTGTCGTAACTGTAAAGTCAAGTCACTCAGCATTTGACTGAGAGTTGCCCGCACAGCAGTGTTTATGCTACGCTGGTGACAGCTGCTTATGTATGTCTCAATGCATACCTGTTAAAGAAATAAGACAGCAACACACATGTCTGCAGGTATCAGCTTATTACCAACATTCTTTGGGATTAACCAGAGAGGATATCAAATCCCTCTTAGACAGAAAGTCAGCCTGATTTAGGACTGGTTATTACTAAATATATTTTAAATCCCTGGAAATTTGTTTTTAAGCATATAGGAAAAATGGTATTTCCCTAAGGAACCACTCTTACAACCTGTTCCTCTGAGCATCATAGGAGAATGCAAATTAGTGATTTTTAGATGTGCCAAATAATTCTATCTAGAATCAACTCGGGTGGCTGGAAATTAATCAGAAAAAGTTCACTTGGTGATGAAATATAACAGAATTTATTAACTCCCAGGTTGTGCAGTGTGGGAAAAGGGTTAGCAAAACCCTTTCTCCTGCTCTATGAATGAGTTTGACCTTGGGTCAACCCTCTAGCTGTGTTCTTCTGGAAATTTCATAAAGGCAGGACATCAGCTGTGTTACTAGGTAGCATGGCTTATGGCAAAAATGTTTCCAAATTCCTATGCTACATCTGAATTGGGAGAACTGTGAATCAACTGTAAATATCTGGTGGGTAGCCACAGGTTTGGGCTTCCCTAGGTGTACTGACTCTTCGAATTGACACATCCTCTGCAGGAACTATGCAAACTCTGCTAATAGAGTTGTTTCAGAAATATTGGTCCTATTTGGGACATAGGGCTTCTAGACCAAGGTGACTGCACTCACCGAGATGGCTCTCATCTCCTTGCATCTATGCTGTCATTTGAGAGCCAGAGGTTCTTCTCTAGGCTGCTGTGAGGACCCCCGGGAATAACAATGCCTAACACTGTCCTGCTTCTGTTTCCTGTCCTGTGTCCTGCAAAGTGAATATAACACCAAGGGTGGCCTATTTGGATCTTGCAAGTCTCCACGTCTAGTTGAGCCTAAAAAGACCCAGTGGTGGCTACTACATGGAGAAATCTCAAATAGAAAAAAAAAATCCCTCATTTGATAATACGCTGCTAAAAGTCATGACTTTTCAGATTTTACAGCCTCTAATTCTTCTGGAAGCCACAGGGATGGGCATGAAAATGCATGCTTTAAATTTGCCTACTTTTTTTCTCTCCGTAAGGTATTCAATTTTACAAAGCATATTTAGAGACACAAAAACCAAAAGAGGTATTTAATTTCCTCAATTATTTCTCTAGGAATAGCTCCAAGATTATCTACAAAGAAAATCCAGGGTTCTCACCTACATGGCAAATTTAATTTGATGATTGACAACTGAGACGGGCAAGAGACTACATTTTAATCTTTGTTGCTGCTTCTGCTTAAGCTGGGGAATTTTCTGCCAGGCCTCATGTTATCTTTTTCTTTCTGCCATGCCTCACTATGTTTACCTAGCAGAATTAACTAGGTGAACATAAATTTTCTTTTAAAGTTTAATTTATCTCCTACTGAATGTTAATATTTCAAAGGAGCATTTGAAACTGAAAACAGTATTTGAAAAAACAAAAAAAGGCAGTCTTCTCGACCTGGACAAAACCCAACAACTCCCAAACCTACATTTGAAAGTTGGCCTAGATTAATTCATTTCAGAGTTAAAGAGCAAAAGCAAGTTATAAAGTATTTATTTTTCATAAAAGTACTTAGGGCACATGACTTTTAATTCATTTTCTCAAATAATCATGGATATAGTGGATTTGAAGACACAATAATTTATGCATGCTTAGAAAAAAAAGGTGTTTTAGGCCAGATACGGTGACTCACACCTGTAATCCTAGCACTTTGGGAGGCTGAGGTGGCTGGATTGTTTGAGCCCAAGAGTTTGAGATCTGCCTGGGCGCAACGTGGCAAAACTCTGTCTCTACAAAAAATACACAAATTAGCCGGGCATGGTGGTGCACACTTATAGTCCCAGCTCCAGGCATGGGAGGATCACCTGAGCCTGGGAAGGTAGAGGCTGCAATGAGCCGTGATATCGTGCCACTCCAGCCTGGGTGACAGAGACCCTAACTACCCCCTGAAAGGTGTTTTAATCCTGAAATGCTTCTACTTTTGCATGTGATGAAGTGGTTTTAAAACTTTGAAAATACATCTAGAGACCGCACTGAATCACTTTGATGAAGCCAAGCTCTCCATCGTGCATCATTTGTACTTCATAATTTAACAGTTTTCTTTAAATCTTACATTTTCCCCAGAAATCTTTGTAACTGTTGATCTTTAAGATCTCTAAGCTCTGCCATTTTAAATTTATAGGGGAATTGTAAGCCTTAAAAGCATTACAGATGAAAGAGAAGCTATTTTGAGAGCTGAACTACACACTTAATATAAACTCTCTTGAATACTGAGAAACATATCACTACACAATCTCTGTTAAAAATTACATCATTCACTTTAGACTCATGAAAGAAAGTGCACGCATGAGGAATTGGATTTTATATAACGCAGTGCTGTAAACAGACAAGAACTTTCCAAATAGTTAAGGTTTTTTTTTTGTTTGTTTGTTTTTTTAGTTTTAACGCCAGCACTGTTTTTAGTGTTTAGTTGCTAATACTATACATATAACACTTGGACATGACTTATTGCAGGAGGCATTTTATTCAGGGAAAAGGTAAGCATATTTACTCAGCTAAAAAAAAAGTATTAATTTAAGAAGCCCATTTAGCTAAAGTTGGGAGTACAAAGACTGAATATGACAAAAGGTATCCCATTAAATATAAAATTTACCATGTATTTGATGCTATGGTTATCTTTAGGTACCCAGAAAGAAATGCTTTCTCAGCTATCTTGGCATCTTCTAAAGGAAAGTTTCTTACACTTAGTGTAATAATATATTGGCAAACTACTAAGATTCATAGAACTAGAGCTTCCATGTTTAAACCTATTCATCGTATTCAAGACCAACTATTTTTAATGTTTTTCTTCCTCTACCTCAGGGCAGTACTAAATGAGCACATTGAATCAAAGCAGCTAAAAGAATACCATGTCCAAAAGCAGGCTGAGTTTCTGGGACAGAGCTCATCAGTTTCTTCTTTTATTCTGCCCATTATTGGTTCTACCTGCCCATGCTCTTCGCTTTCATAAAGCAGAATCAACACTGGGAAAGCCTAAGTCCTGCACCTTTGCCAGAGGCTTAAAGGGCCAAGTCAAATACCTTGTGAAAAGCCCTATAGGGACCTGATCACAGGGAACACACAAAGACGCAGGGCAGTGAGGAGGTTATAAGGGACACTTTGTGATCCTTTCACTGATTTGTAAACATCCAGCTTTATAACATGCTAAACAGAACTGAGAGCAAACACAAATGGTTAATGATACAAAATAAACCCCAAAGGTAGAAGGAAAAAGAACAAGAAAACACAAGTCTGCAGGCCATACATAAGCAATAAAAGCTTTACATCACTGAGTAAGTAGACTGATAGATAATAGTACTAGGTTAAACCCAGGGAGAAATCACTAAAGCATTTAATATGAAGCAGCACATATATATATATATATGCCAAAGGGATCACAAATATTAAAGAAGATGCCACAATAAAAATGTGCTTAGCTTTATAAAATACGTATGATCTTCACTTTGTTGAACTGTGCAATTACCTTCTCTTTCCCACCTGAATGGGGTTATTGGCACTGCTTTGTTAAAATCATGCATAATACTAATAAATTCCATAAAGAGAAGAGCTAGTATATTGTCAACTGGAAAACTTTTATAGGGATGAAAAATAATCTATGGTGATTAAAAGTAGAAAGGATCAGAGATTAAGCTATAAAAACGCAGAAGGAATGTCCTCTATGTAGGGAAGACTATAAACGCTTCTTGAACACATTAGTACCAGAGAAAATCTTGGCTATCACTATAAGTCTAAGTTTCATGATTAATCATGCTGACAACTCAGTTGCCAGCCTATTCCTTATTCTCTCTTTCCTAAGACAGGTCAACAGGTAGGTATGTGGCAAGAGGCATGTCATCAAATGGGTTCTGCTGATGCAAACACACACACACACACACACACACACACGGCATGAACTGAAGTTGTTTTATTATTTCTAGGAAACAGCTGTATAAGTAAGTCCGATCACCACGTTAGGTAGGGAAGTTGGCTAGTTTTCCTTTTGGATGTCAGCTCAAAAGTAAATTCTAAAAGTGCCAGGCATACCCGGAGAAATCTGATTGTGACTTGCCTCTTCCTCCTCCATGGTCTTCTTAGCTTAAGTTGGTATATTAAAATGGCTTAAGACACCTTAACCCATCAATTCATGCACCTTTCCAGGTCTACAGAAGATTGGCTGAGAACCAGTCCAAACTGAAGCAGAGACACTGGTCTGTGTGTCTTCTAACTCCAAACAACTTCTTCACAAGCCACGTAAGTAAGAGGTTTAAGGAAGGTGTGGAAATTCCTTGCCAAAGAAACAATAACTTACTTACTTAAAGCCCATCTAGCAGTAACTAGATAAAAAACAGACTCCTTGGAGGAGTCAAACCAGGATCAATAGAGACTGGCACACAGGAAAGAAAGGGTTTCAGGAAGGAAAAGTGAAGCTCCTTGAAATGCGATTTCCCCACTCAACTGGTCTCAACTGGTTTGAGGTCGTGGTCCTGCTTCCTTAGCTAGTTTTCTTGCCAGGAGATGGGGTTACTCCTTCCAGTCTTACAGAGAACATAACATAACAAGATGCTTCCAAGATAAGTAGATCACGGCATCTGTGTACTTTTCTGTGGGATTATATCTGAGACTATCTGTTTCTTAATTGCAGAACATTTTATTTCAGGTATGTCTCAGAAATAATGCTACCATATCAGAGTAAAAGAAGTATTGGCCGGGTATGGTGGCTCATGTCTGTAATCCCAGCACTTTCGGAGGCCGAGGCAGGTGGATCACGAGGTCAGGAGTTAGAGACCAGCCTGGCCAATATGGCGAAATCCCATCTCCACTAAAAATACAAAAAAACTAGCCAGGCATGGTGGCGTGCACCTGTAGTCCCAGCTACTCGAGAGGCTGAGGCAGGAGAA